AAATGTAAAAATGGTTGACTGTAAATACTGACAAAAGTACCGATTTGCAAAACAGAAATGTGTTTATTTGACACGACAAACTGTTGGTTGAACATAATTTAATCATGGCACGCATTTCCATGTAATTACATCACGTTATGTACAGTAACCCAGTCTTTCTCATGTCACATGAACACATTTACATAAAACTAACAAGTAGTAATGATTTAAAAACATAAACACTATATGTACATGTTAAATGAACACATGGGATCTAACCAGCACTAAGGGGGTTCAATTAAGATTAAGACATTGTCTATTTATAGAAGTCTAGAGACTCAGAGTTAAGTATTCATGTGTGAGGACAATCATGCATTTATGAGTGAATAAAGTTTGGAGGCCACCGAACATGCTGTTACGCTCTGAACCTGAGAAGTAGATGGACCTGTGATTGTAGGTTGCACATACATCTGAGCTGTTTTTCAGATGTTTTTGACTAACATGTTTATTGACGGGGGATATCGATTCTGACATGTCTTAAAAGAAATGCAAAACAACAGCCTATTAATGGGGCTGGTCACAACCAAGCAACAAGAAATCCTCACAGCAACCTAAGTGTTTACTGCTCAGAGGTAGATCTGCAGATTCTTTGCACCGATCACATTTCGTGTACAGCGTAAAAACAACACTAGAAACTACAGGCAAGGCACAGCCTGCTTATTTAAATAAAAAGGAAATTTTGTCCCAAGTAGAAGGGAGCAGAAAAAGCAAATTCAGCAATCATTTGATGGGCAGGGGTGGAGATTAGGAATGTAGAATTATTTAAATGACATTGAAAATGCATGCTTCTCCAACAGATCGCAAATTGAGCACTCCCAAAATCCCAGCGCTACACCTTACGCCTGATCGCCAATCACAGCTGTTCACTGCATCGCAGCCTGGAGGAGTAACACTACATCAAAGACAGGCAACAGACGGTCAAAACAGAAATTTAAACGTCTGGAGCAGCAGAAAGCGAGCTTGCTTCCAAAAGCAGGTCTGCTGTTTTGGATTTAGAACAATCATGTTAACCAAGAAGAAATCATCTGCGAAGAGTGCACAGCGAACTTATTTAACCACCTGAAAACACACCTGCAAGGTGAAGTAAAAAATGCAATTGTTGCTAAGGTTAATCATCCAACATCAACTCAGATGTACATAAAAGCGAACCTGTACAGCTCTTCGTGATATCGCTAGCGCTCACAAAGAAGCACAATCTCATTTGGCCAAGGTAAGTAGTTAAGGCTTTAGGTAATATAGCACATTTAAAAACAGAAAGTTTGCCCAAAGTGCTAGCCTATAATGAAAAAAGAAGAGGGCCAAGGATTAAGCCCTGGGGCACCTCACAAGAAAGTGGGGCTGAGGTGGACTTTTTCAACATTAACACTGAAAGTTCTGTGAGTCAAATATGAATGAAGCCAATCCACTGCAGCACCTTTGATGCCAACCAGGTGTTCCACATGGGAGATAAGAATATTGTGGTCAACAGTATCAAACGCTGCAGTAAGATCTAAAAGCACGAGGATGACCGAAATTCCACAATCAGTAGCTAAAAAGAAAAACACGTAAAAGTGCTGTTTCAGTGGAGTGTAGCTGTTTAAAACCAGACTGAAAAACTTCCATCATACCATTAGCATCTATATTCAGATGGATAAAAACTATTTTCTCCAATAACTCTGAGAAGAATGGAACTTTTGAAATGAGGGGTCAGCGCCAGGTTTTTGTTAATAAATGGTTTACAACTGCATGTTTAAAACCATCAGGAACCACACTGGAAGTTATACTGCTATTTATAAGAGCGAGGACTGAGTTCCAATAGAAGGGAAAACGTCTTTAAAGAGCCATGCAGGAATAAAACATCCATGAGAATAACCTTTCCAAAGTGCCAATGCGGGCACTATATGCAAAGCATCCAAGGGGAAAGACATTAAGCTCTAAGATCGGTTGAGTACTTTGCTATGAGTTTCCATCACGCAGAAACCAAGAATGGAGTGAAAAAATTTATGTTTCACTTTTAGGAAATGAATAAATATCTTATTTGTCTGCAATTAAGTTTTATTTAAGAAGAATATAGCACAATGGGGAAAGCAGGGATGTGTTGATGTAATTTTGCATTAAGTTTTTGTACAATTTTCTTTAAACTTACGTAATTTTTTTGCTCAAAGGGAGGCACTGAATTTAAATGAATGAGGAGTAACAGCTTTATTACAGCACACATATGCAAATGAAATCTGTGTTATGTGACATCTCTAAATTTATTATGACTATTTTAAGGCCTAATTTAGTTTATATTGAATAATCGTGATAATAGTAATCCTAAAATTGGGCAAAATGATAAGGATTAGCATTTTGGCTATAATTGTGCAGCCTTTGGGGTTTTGCAATTTCATTACTGTCAAGAAGTGACAAAGTGATGAAAACACAAGGCTTCCTTGCACAGTACATGGTATTCAACTTCCTACTGAAAATAACAACTGTAAAAAACAAACAAAATTCCCTTTCATTATTAAAATCTATAAAATCTTAGTCTGCATTTTATCCGGCATTACATAATCCTTATTGCTATTAGCATTATTGCTATTATCATTATTGCTATTAGCATTATTGCTATTAGCATTATTGCTGCTATTATTGCTATTAGCATTATTGCTACTAGCATTATTGCTGCTATTATTGCTATTAGCATTATTGCTGCTATTATTGCTATTAGCATTATTGCTATTAGCATTATTGCTGCTATTATTGCTATTAGCATTATTGCT